ACAAAATCACTCAAAAAAATCTTAAGTAAACCAAAAGACCCAGTAGCACAAGAAAAAAAAAAACAGGGGTCATCTACAACATACAGTGTAAGGACTGTAACAAACACTATGTAGGACAGACAGGCAGAAGACTAGCAGAGCACATCCACGAGCTCCAACTAGCAGTCAGAAGACAGGATAAAAACTCCTTAATTTCACAACACATGGACAGACTCAACCATAGTTTTAACTGGGAAACTCTCAGCATTTTAGACCAAGCTAAATCCAAAAATGCAAGAGAATTCTTGGAAGCTTGGTATTCAGACAAGGCAGCAATTAACAGACACATAAACAACATCTACATACTATTCAAAAGAGACAAAAGACCAGAAGATTGCCTCACCAGCAATTATCACCCACATAAGCAAAGGTTACCACCAGGCACACAATATTGCCTCACCAGCAATTATCACCCACATAAGCAAAGGTTACCACCAGGCACACAATATTGCCTCACCAGCAATTATCACCCACATAAGCAAAGGTTACCACCAGGCACACAATCAAGCAGTAAACATATGCTAATCAAGGAACTACCAGAGGAGCAAAACAAAACCCCCATCCCCACCAGCACTGGCAAGGCATGCCACAGCATATAAATAGAGAGCAAACCCCATCCCATTTTAGCACTGAAGATGTCACCTAGCCGGGTAATAAAATGTTTGCAAGAAAAGAACCAAGCTCAGAGAACCACAAGCACTCCACAGTTCAACCCTGAGCTACACATATTCACCTCTATTAGTTCTTCCAGTCTTCCTGCTATTCTGACCATCTGAAGAGTCCAGGGAATATTGAAGTTTTCAGAGCTGGTCAATAAGTTCTTTGAAGCGTAACAAGAGTCAATGCAGTTAACATACACCAGCTAACCAGGTCTGTAGAGATGGATTCAAATGCAGAGTTCTTGGAACTGCCCTCACTCCTAAGTTTGTCAGTGGCTATGCTTCTTTTAGAGCAGTTTCTTTAATCCAAAGAATTAGAGGGGGTGGCTGGTGTGGGTCTTCCGGGCTGTGTGGCCGTGTTCTGGAGAATTTGGCTACACAGCCCGGAAGACCCACACCAGCCATCGTATTCCGGCCGTGAAGGCCTTCGACAATAAATTAGAGGGGGTCTTCCAGTGTTCTAACTCAAACAGGAATCAACTATCATCCTTTCCAATTTTATTTCAGACCTTTTTAAGGGCTTGTCCTTGATCTTTTATTCTTCCCCCACATTTCAGGTATTTGGGCTAGCAATATGAAGCAGAATGAAGTGAAAGAAACTTACTACCATACTAATTAGCAGTGATACTGCACAATTAAAAAAAAAAAATTCTCAAGGAAGGAGAACTAAAAGGAACAAAGCCACAAAACTAATGTGAGGTAAAATAAAAAGTGCTACAACACTGCCATGGCGAAAGGCTCCCCTCCCTCAGCTGTTCCCTTCAGGGCACCCAAAATGGGTCATCTGACAATTATCCCAAAGTTCTCGTTTTCACTTTCACCTTCACTACTGTCTCTTCAGGGACTGACACGGAGCTGACCAGGTGTGACTTCCAGATATTGGAAGAATGTTTCCTCAACAGATCAGGATTGTTGATTATTAGTACTGGTGGTTTATCCTGATTATGGAAATGGGAGTTTATGCTGTTTAAATTCAGATATGACTGGAGCAGCCTATACTGTAAGTGAATAATGAATTAAAGAAATAAAGAAATAGGAGTCTTTAGGCAACAATTCAGTCAAGTACAACTTGGTTACAATTTTATTTATTTACAAATATATGTGCTGTTCAGAACACACAAAGCACAGCTTCTCACTGGCCAAGCTCGCTCTCATTCTGCAAAGTCTTCATAGCTAAGCCCCAGAGGGTCACGCTGGAGAAGAAGGCCCCCTCATTATTTCTGTACTCAGCAGAAGACACACGGCTGCTCAGGTCGCCATTCCAGCTGCTGCCCAGGGTGCTTGCAGAGGAGCAAACCAGGGGAATAGCATCAGACTGTAGTGGTTCTTCCTCAGAGGGGGGGTTAATTTCTTTAAAAGAACAAGACTGATCCAGTCCTTCTGGAGATTTGCAGAGTTTGGCAGGATCCAAGCTCAGTTTCTGAGGGCCTTTTACCATTTCAGGCCTTGCCTTGCTAAATGGTGCCCCAGGATGGTCAAATTCATTTGGCGAATGCTCCGTCGGGTGGGGTGGACATTCCTCTGATGCTGGCAAGAAAGATACTGAGATTTCCTGGGTAAAGAAATCTGAACTTTGGGACTTCTCAAGATCAGTAATTTCCATTGCATGAGAAAACTCATCTGCAATATTTGAACTTTCACTGCTAGCTTTACAGTGGGTTTTTTTGTGTCGACGTAAGACAGCAGAACGACTGAAACATTTATTGCAGATTTCACAGTGATATGGCTTTTCCCCAGTATGTGTTCTGATATGTCTTCGCAAATCGCCAGATCCCGCAAAGCATTTTCCTATAAAATAAAATATTTAAGTATCATTTCTTTCAGCAAAGATCAACATTTTAATTGTAATTTCTAAAATATAGTTACTAGGTTTTAATTAATGTGGTTCATTGTTACATCAGGCTATGCTTCAAAATTAAAATACCGTTTTATTTTGTAAAATGTTTCTGATAATATTTTTTAAAATGTAATCACTGTTAATACAGGTAGTCCTCGAGTTACGACGGCAACTGGGACCAGAATTTCCATTGCTAAGTGATGTGGTCATAAAGCACGACCACATCATTTAGTGACAGCAATCCCTGCAGTCCCAATTGCTGTTGTTAACTAAACTGC